GGAGCCTATATAAGAAAAAGACCCAAAAAATCGGGACTGTCCCTATAAAATCGGGACATCTGGGAGTGGGGTGGGGGAGCTAATGGGGGGCTGCTGACGTATTACTGTGGCTCTTTGGCAATGTATATTGATAAATTCTGGCTCCTTCTCAGGCTCAGGTTGGCCACCCCAGCACTAGACGCTCTATAAACAGATCTGCAGTACGGCGGCCATGAATAAAAACTGTGGTTGTTGAGCGGGGCGAAGAGACAGAGGCGGAGTTACCCCACAGGCCGTGAAGCGCCAGCGAAGGTTGTTGCCTCAGGAGAAGACGTCGTGGAGAGACTAGGGTGGGCTGGATTTGGGCAGTGAGACACGCATTGCCCCCTCCTACTTTCTCTGTAGAAAATAGGGAGAGAAGGGAATACAGCCTGGGGGGCTCCCTTTTACTGGGGAAGAGCCCTTTAAAAATGGTAGGGACCAGGGCAAGGACAATCATGGGTGGTACCTTGAGACCACTCACGCTCTTAGATTGCTTGGAAGTGTAGGTGTGACTTGCTCTCTCCACGATGTCTTCTCCTGAGGCAACAACTTCGCTGGCGCTTCGCGGCCTGTGGGGTAACTCCGCCTCTGTCTCTTTGCCCCGCTCAACAACCACAGTTTTTATTCATGGCCACCCTACTGCAGATCTGCAGTCTCGGCGCCTCCTTCGCAGATTGTAGCGTTTTAGAGGCTCCTTTGAACCACCTCTGTTGATCTGCTCTAGGAATTATTTACGGGGATTTCTCTGGCCTGGGTTATGCCGGAGGTCAGGCTGGATGATCACAGTGGTCCCTTCTGGCCTTGGAATCTATGCATCTAGAAACCTCTGTAGAGCTTAGCTGAGTGCGCCCGTTATCCTATTCTGTGCACAATGTATTAGACTCTATGGGCTTGATTCCCGGCTGCTGAGGACTTTCTCTAGTCATTTACATGGGGTAGTGAAAACTGTACTGAAGCAGTGAGAAAGCTGTCTCTCTGTAAATCCTCCAGGGTTTTCCTGGTCTTGTTTGCAGGCTAGGGGGCTCTGCAGGGAAGCGTGCGACCTGGGTCTCACCGCAGTTATCACACTCACGTAAATCACTGCACAAGGGGCAGGACAGTGACGGATCAGACCCTAAGCATCTAGAACGCGCCCCTAGGGGGTTCTTGGCTGGGTTTGACCTGCATGTCTTGGGTCCACTTTTAAAAGGGGCTATATTTCCTTAAGAGATCAAATGTGTCAATTACAGCTGAGCCCGTGGACTGTATCCAGTCCATCACGGATCCAGCGGGCGTCAAGGGAGCATTTGTTAATGCTCTTCTAGAACATCTCTGTAGAGTTTAGGGAACTGTTAATTCATCTCCAGAACCACGTTCTGTGGCTATTAGGGGCCATCAAACCCCGATGTCTTCATTATCTAGTTTAAGGTGGATTTGTTCTCTTAAGCCAGCTCTGCATGGGACTGAAGGTTCTAGAGGCAGCAATCTAAATACATCATGGAGTACGGTAGCCTCTTTTCTATGAGCAGGATTATTTAGCATAGGGGGGCGGAAGCTCCCTGGGAATGGGGCAGGGGTTTGGGAGGATGGCGGGGCAGTGAAGATAAGTACTGAGGTTCAGTGGGCAGGAGGGAGGCAGCCAGCTTCAGGCTGGTCCTGGAGGTTCCTACCCGCTCCTGGACCCATCCGAACGCCTTTGGGCCCCGTGGCACCTGCTCCAGACTCTCTGCGTCTCATTGTCACCTTCTCCTCCCCCTGAGCATGTGTGTGTTTATGTGGCGAAGGAGCCTCCATAGTATTTCCACTAAGGGGCGCTAGCCTCCTTTGCCCCCCCCCCCGCCCCCTCCTCAGTTCTGCTATCCCTGCTATTTAGCAGTGGGTTGGAGAAGCAAGAAGCCACGTGGGAATCGTTATATGTGTAAGCTGAGATTTCCAAAGAAACCTAAAGGCTATTAAGCATCCAACTTCCATTGGAAGCCCCTTTAGAAATTCCCCCCCTTAATTGATCAGGGGCACTGACAGGACTAAGAGATCAGGTTCCAACTTAAGGCAGAGCGTATGCTCTTGCAACACTTATTTAATCAATAGTCTAACATCTCTTCGTTCCTCCTGGATGGAGGGTAATTCTCTTCTTTTGCTTAATAAAACAAAGCCCTGGAAACCATGCTGCTGGAAAGCACCCTGTCATTGTAATGTAAACGATACCTAATGGATTTGGAATTTCCCCTTGGCTCTGTTGGGGAGCCAACTTGTTGGCTATGGTATCTGATCACAGACAACAGGGTTGAATTACCCTCCATGGATCATTTATACAGTTATGTTCATGAAATATGGACAGTGTTTCCTTCCTAACAAACATTTCTAATTCTGTTACTTCTCTGGTTGTCACTGGGAGTCAGATTGCAGAGCTGTTGTGCTGACTCACCCTGGTACTCACACTGGGTGGGTCTCATTAGCTCCATTCAAAGGAAGAGTGTGTTTCTGGGGCAGGCGAGAGCTAGAGGGAAGAGCAGAGCGAAATCTTGAGCAGCCACCAGTAGAGGGAGCTTGGGGACAAAGAGACGTTTGTAGAGCCATGTTTTAGCTTTTTAAGCTGAGATTTCTGGTCACCTAAGGGATCGGATAGGAATCAGGCATCCAGTTTCTCTAAGACCTATTGAAAATCTCAGCCGTCATTAAAAATAAAGTTAAAGTCCGGAAAGGTAAAGGGTGGGTCGTATCCATTGTGAAGGACCAGCCGCAGTATCCATTGCGTGTGTCTGCTATGGTAGGGCCAGTTTGGGGATGTCACCTGTTCCCACTGTATTCCACAAATTCTTATTCTGAAGCCACTGAGTTTCATTGATGTATTTCAGGTTATGTCAGCATTTCCACTGTTAACTAAGGATTTTTTTGGGGTGGGGGTGGGGGGGTTATAATGGTTTAGACATTGCCAATAAACATTGAGGCATGAAACCTTGCGAAACATTTGGAGCGTGCTACCTGCCCCACTCCTCTTTGTCCACTTCTTCAAATGCGTCCAGCTTCAGGGGAAAAGGAGGATTATTTTTGGTTAATGTCCTGGCCTGAAATTCAGCAGGCCTGAGTTCAAAGAATCATAGAATATCAGGGTCGGAAGAGACCTCAGGAGGTCATCTAGTGACCCAACCCCCTGCTCAAAGCAGGACCAACCCCAACTAAATCACCCCAGCCAGGGCTTTGTCAAGCCTGACCTTAAAAACTTCTAAGGATGGAGATTCCATCACCTCCCTAGGGAACCCATTCCAGTGCTTCACCACCCTCCTAGTGAAATAGTGTTTCCTAATATCCAACCTAGACCTCCCCCACTGCAACTTGAGACCATTGCTCCTTGTTCTGTCATCTGCCACCACTGAGAACAGCCGAGCTCCATCCTCTTTGGAACCCCCCTTCAGGTAGTTGAAGGCTGCTATCAAATCCCCCCTCACTCTTCTCTTCTGCAGACTAAATAACCCCAGTTCCCTCAGCTTCTCCTCGTAAGTCATGTGCCCCAGCCCCCCAATCATTTTCGCTGCCCTCCGCTGGACTGTCTCCAATTTGTTCCATACTTAGTTCTCCCACCAGTTTTGCGAGACACCTTGGGCAGCTCACTTAATCTCTCTGTGCCTCAGGTCCTCATCTGTAAAATGGGCGTAATAATTCTTCCTTTCTCCGACCTTTCATCTCTTAACACTGTGGCTATATCTAAGAAGTGTAATTCCCAGCTTGGGTAGATGTCACATGCTTGAGTACTAAAAATTTCGGCCTAGACACAGCAGCACGGGCAACGGCTGGGGTTAGCCACCTGAGCATAGACCGAGGATCTCGGACAGGGTTGTACTTGTGTGGCTATCCTGCACGGTTGTCCCTGCTGCTGTGGCCACGCTGCTATTTGTAGGGCACTAGCTTGTCCAAAGTTCCAGCTGAGCGGGGAATTACACCTCTCAGCTGCAGTGTAGACATACTCTGTAAGCTCTCCAAGGCAGGGACTGTCTCTTGCTCGGTGTTTAAAGAGCGCCTAGTGCTGGGGTGGCCAACCTGAGCCTGAGAAGGAGCCAGAATTTACCAGTGTACATTGCCAAAGAGCCACAGTAATATGTCAGCAGCCCCCCATCAGCTCCCCCACCCCGCTCCCAGCGCCTCCCGCCCACCGGCAGCCCCACCAATCGGCCCCTCCCACTCCCTCCCTGCCCCTCCCAATCAGCTGTTTTGTGGCGTGCAGGAGGCTCTGGGAGGAGAGCGGGGGAAGAGCAAGGGCACAGCAGGCTCAGGGGAGGGGGCGGGAAGGGGTGGAGTGGGGGCAGGGCCTGTGGCAGAGCCAGGGGTTGATCAGTGAGCACCCCCCGGCACATTGGAAAGTTGGCGCCTGTAGCCCCAGCCCCGGAGTCGGTGCCTATACAAGGAGCCGCATATTAACTTCTGAAGAGCCGCATGTGGCTCTGGAGCCACTTGGCCACCCCTGGCCTAGTGCAATGGAGAGCTGCTCTCCATTGGGGGTCCTCTTGGTGCTATGATAATACACCTCATAATATTTTGGGGAGGAAAAAACAGTAAAACGACAGTTTAAAAATGACAGATGCTGTTTATTGGACATACAGTACCATACTCCCAAAAGTCAGGGGGCTGTAGCCATGAGGACAAAGAATTAGAAATCAGTGCTGGAGTTTATACATCAAAAAAGCAATCACCTTTTCCACCGGATCACTCACAAAAAAGACGGCGCTGAAGATATTTTTTAGTTGCCAGGAAGACACCCGCAGCTTAGAACACATGTTGGGGCACAGATCTTACCTTATTATAGTGTCGTGTAACTATTTTCTTTGGCTAGAACAGATGGATTTGTAATTTCGTGAGGCTGCCGCTATAATTTTCTTTTTTACTGTGAATTAAATGAACATGCCCAAACAGGAAAGGGATTTCAGGCAACATATATCTAGGCACGTTCGCACAGCATGTAAATGGAAATCCCCTTTCCCATCAGCTGTAAGTGATGGATTTAACTGGTCGTGGTGATCAGATGGGTCCCGATTCAGCAAAGCGCTTCAGCTTATCTTTAAGTTCCCGATTCCAATGGGAATGAACATTAAAGCACGTGCCGAATCAGGAATACGGTCTGGCCTCTGTGCTGGTCAGAACCCCACATGTGAAACAGATTGCAAGCAATGCTTTGGCCTACAACATTCCTGATTTCCATGGTAAGATCCTGGCTGTACCCAATCCGCGGGGAAAAGGTGAAAGGACTCGAGTGTGGGGATTAGCTCAGCTATTTACACAATGGATTTCTAAGGGCTGCACTTGCTTTCAGTAGGTAGGAAACGTGTTTTCATTCATGCGGGGATCGCTGGGGGCCTCGTCTTTATCTGATGGATTTTTTGCTGGTCGTGGTCTTGGATACGATTTTCACGCTGGAGCCGCTCCTCCCTCCGGAGCTCAGACTTCCACTCAGGCCTCTTCCACTTCCAGAGCTGAAACCACTGCCACCTCCAATGCTCATCCCGCTTCCGTAGCCATATCCGCTGCCGCCGCCGCCGCCGCCGCCAAGGCCGAATCCGCTCCCGCCTCCCATGCCGAGACCGTAGCCGCCACCTCCTCCGCCACCTCCCAGGGAAAGCCCACCTCCGTATCCTCCTCCCAGGCTGCCTCCGCCACTGTATCCAGTCGAGGAACTGACCACCGCTGCAAAACGACAAGCACAACCAGTGAGATCTCTGTGGTTTCCAGAGGGAAGCCAAACCCAGACATCAGCTTCATTTGGAAAAGCCAATGATAGGTCAGAGGTCGAGTCACTTACAGATGCTCACGGGTCCAACTCCCTCTCCTGCCAGCCTGTTAGGGAAGAGAGAGACAGGAAGGAAAGGATGTAAGTGACGCCCTCAGTTCATAGACAACCAATGACCAATACAGATAGATTGGGAGACATTAAGGCCAGAAAGGACCATTGTGCTCATCTACTCTGATAACCCATGCCAGAGAACCTCCTCTAGGGATTCCTGCATCCATAACTCCTGGCTGAGCCAGCACTTATCTTTTAGAAAGGCCCCCAGTCTTGACTTAAAGACCTACAGTGGTGGAGAATCTACCCTGGCCCTAAGTAAGTTGCACCTTATTTCGAGTCTGAATTGATTTAGGATCATAGGCTGGAATTTTCAAAAGGGCCACACCTACTCCCTTTGAAAATTCCAGCTCCATTGCTTATTAGAGCCGACCGGTATTTTTCAGGATTGGAAATTTCAGGGGAAAACTTTTTTAAGGCCATGGAAAAATGGGAAGGGGGGGATTGGAAGTTTTCTGAATGTTGGTGCATTTTCTCCCTCCCATTTTCCAGCCAGCCATGGAGCCAGCTGAAATTTGCTCAAAGCCCAGATGAAATGTTTAGGTAAACAATGTAGAATGCTGATGAAAACAATGGAAAAGGAGGGAACAGTCACCAGCCCGCCTCACACATATAATTTTGTCAGCTAGATTTTCAGCCTTATGAATGTTTCCAGCACTAGGATTCATAGAATCATAGAATATCAGGGTTGGAAGGGATCTCAGGAGGTCATCTAGTCCAACCCCCTGCTCAAAGCAGGACCAATCCCCAACTAAACTATCCCAGCCAGGGCTTTGTCAAGCCTGACCTTAAAAACCTCTAAGGAAGGAGATTCCACCACCTCCCTAGGTAACCCATTCCAGTGTTTCATCACCCTCCTAGTGAAAAAGTTTTTCTAATATCCAACCTAGACCTCCCCCACTGCAACTGATTCCCATCTTTAAACTCTGAACGTCAGTCAAACATCACACATCAGTCTCCATCTAATCTAGCTCATAGTACTCATGGTCATGGGATTGCATTTGCAGCGCCTTATCCCATCTCTGCTGCAATTACAGCAGCATTTTACCTTCTTCTCATTACTGGGACACATTTCCGGTGTCACTCGCCATGTGCTAGGAGCTGTGCAAACATGAAGGAAGGCACCATATTTGCTCACACGACAATGTAGCCGTTGTTCCGGCCCTCATTGCATGTATGTCTACACTGCAATTGGGAGGTGTCATTGCTGCATGTGTAGATAGACATACCCAAGGCAGCTTGGATCAACCCCGCTTATTAAAAATATCAGTGAAGCCACGGCACTACAAACTAACCGCTTGAGTCCAAGCCTGGGTGTGAACTCAAATGTGGAGCCCAGTCACTGCCTGCGGCGTTGCTGGGTAGACATACCCTGAATTATACTGCTTAGGGTTCCAAGCTCGCATCCTGCCCTCAGGGGAGCAACGCGGCTGCTCAGTTGCCTCAGGGCTGCAGTAGCATTGCATCATGCACCCACCTGCTCTCCTCTCCTTCCAGCAGCTTCCTGTAGGTGGCGATCTCGATATCCAGGGCCAGCTTGACGTTCATCAGCTCCTGGTACTCCCGCAGCTGGCGCGCCAAGTCTGCCTTGGCCTTCTGCAGGGCATCCTCCAGCTCAGCCAGTTTCGCTCGGGCGTCCTTGAGGGCCATTTCGCCGCGCTCCTCGGCCTCGGCAATGGCCGCTTGCAGGTTGGCGCACTGCAAACCGGGAACGTTGAAGTGTGATTATTATTTAATGGGGTAACCAAATGTGGGAGTGAAAGCTCACTCTGGGCATGTAAGCCCATGTAAACCTGGAGTCATAAACAGATCCCTGAAATAATTAGCATGAATCCTCTTTGTGCAAATCAGGAGTCACTCCATTGAAGTCAATCGATACGATTCTCTTTCGCATGCACCAGGGTAAGTCAGGTGTCACTGCACTGAAGTCAATGGATATGATTCTCTTTCTCCTGCACAGATGTCAGGAGTCACTCAATGGGTATGATTCTCTTTTGCATGCTCCAGTGTAAATTGGGAGTAACTCCCCTGAAGCCAATGGGTGTCATTCCTCTTTTGCTTACAATATTGTAAACCAGGAGTAATTTCACTGAATGGAATGGGCATGAGACTCCTTTCACTGACAGTAGTGTAAATCAGCAGCCCCTCCAGTGACGTGAATCACATTAGCGTAAGTAAGGGGCAAACAGATATTTTCTCAATATCATAGAATCCTAGAAGATCAGAGTTGGAAGGGACCTCAGGAGGTATCTAGTCCAACCCCCTGCTCAAAGCAGGACCAATCCCCAACTAAATCAGTGGTTCTCATGCTTATCAGTGGTGTGTATTGTGTCTTGGGTAGAGTCCCTCTGGCAATGATATGGCCAGATCCTCAGCTGGTGTAACTCGAGCTGCTTCGCTGTTTTTAATAGAGGAAGAGAGAGGAAGGAAGGCCCGTGGTTAGAGTACTAGCCTAGAACTGCTCCGTGGGCCACCAGAAAGTTACCACTGAGAGTTAGAAGAGTTGAGTAAAAGGAGGGGCCAGTGGCTAGCGATTCAGGAGAGACAAGAGATATCATGGGGTACGTCTACACTACAAGATTAATTCGAATTTAGATAATTCGCATTTGGGAAACAGATTGTATAAATTCGATTGTGCGCGGCCACACTAAGCACATTAATTCAGTTTTTAACCACATTAATTTGGTGGTGTGCGGCCACACTACCCCATTAATTTTAACCACATTAATTCGGTGGTGTGCGGCCACACTACCCCTAATTCGAATTAACAAAATCGATTTTGGTGCTACTCCGCTCGTCGGGGTGGAGTACAGAAATCGATTTTAAGTGCCCTTTAATTCGAAGTAACTGGCTCCGCTGTGTGGACAGGTTAAGGATTAATTCGGATTAACGAAGCTAAATCCGAATTAAAGTCGTAGTGTAGACCAGGCCATGGTAACGGAGGCCTTGTAAGTGTGAGGTCTTGGTGTGCAATGCACGGTGTCCCGTGCAAGCTTCCGTCAGGCGGGCATCACCGTTTCTTACAAAGGGAGAAGCCCCTCAACCACCTCCCTGCTCCGAACCCATCAGCCGAACCGATACTCAGCGCACGAGCTCCCGCCTGTGCCTCACGCCCAACCACTAGCCTGCCCCAGGTAACGAGGGGCTCCACCCTACCTGCTTCTTCACGTTGTCGATTTCATTCCGCAGCCTGTGGATCATCCGGTTGATCTCGGAAATTTCGACCTTTGTGTTGCGCAGGTCATCACCGTGCCGCCCGACAGAGATCTGCAGCTCCTCAAACTAAATAGTCAGACATAAGGGGGAGGGAGAACACGACCCATTACTTACTGCAGCGTTGAGGAATTGGATAGTATCCATTTAAATAGTTTGGGAGCCCTATGTCTTGTACTGCAGAAGCCACCGGACACTAGCAGGAGAAAGGCTTATGTATGCAGCTGGGCCTTGTGTGTCTGTCTAGCATTAATAATCACAGTACTTGGAATTCAAATGTGTTTCCACTTATTCTTAATGTTGCGTATAGAGCAAAGTCACACTCGTAATGACTACAATAAAGAAAGCATGCACGGCCTCGCACCCCAAGGACTATAGACAGTGTGGCCTAGTGGTTAAAACAGTAATGTGGGCGTCACAAGACCTGGCTTCTAATGCTGGCTCTGCCACTGACTCTTTGGGCAACCAGTGTCGAGTCACTTAAACGGTCCCGGCCTCAGTTTCCCCATATTTAAAATGATACTTATCCACCACTGTTAAGCGCTTTGAGAATGAATGATGAAAATCTCTGTGGAGTAGTTTACTATTGTTATTACTGTGTGCAATAAGCCAAATTCATTCCTGGTGTAACTTAAGAACGGCCGTACTGGGTCAGACCAAAGGTCCATCTAGCCCAGTGTCCTGTCTTCCGAAAGTGGCCAGTTGCAGGTACTTGAGAGGGAATTAACAGAACAGGCAATCATCAAGTGACCCATCCCCTGTCATCTACTCCCAACTTCTGGCGAACTTGATCAGTCTAAAATGGGATCCTGTACCTGTCTAAGTCAAGGATAAAGCTCTCATTGGTGCAGTGTGAGGAACTGAATGCAAGCAGTAGATAAGAGGAATAAAAAAAGCCAAGAACATTATTGGCCTTCAGTCCCACTCGTGATCCTGGTTACTCACCTTAGTCTGGTACCAAGACTCTGCCTCAGTTCTGCTCCTGTTGGCAATCTCCTCGTACTGGGCTTTGACCTCCCGGATGATACTGTCCAGGTCCAGGCTTCGGTTGTTGTCCATAGACAGGATGACGGAGGTGTCGGAGACCTGCTGCTGCATCTGGCTCAGTTCCTACAAGATACGCAAAGCCTGGGTCATTTGCATTGTATGTAGCGCTGACACCCGTCAGGCAGCTGGTGTCCTGAGATCCCTGACCACTTGTGTCTCTCTGTTTCCTTGGGCTCCCATGTCTGTCTGTCAGTATCCGCCTTTCCCCTCTTGTCTTATACTTAGATTGGAAGCTCTTTGGGGCAGGGACTTTTTTGTTCTGCATTTGTACAGCCCCTAGCACAGTGGGGTCATGGTCCGTGACTGTGGCTCCTAGATGCTACCGTAATACAGCTAATAAGTAATAATAGACCTGGTCATAAACCTGGCTTTTTTCCTCCAAGAAAAATGTTGAGCAACAATTTTTCATTCAAAAGGTTTTGATTTGTTTTGGTGTGGAAAATTTCAACATGTAATAAAACCAAGGGTTTGGGGGTTTTTTTTTTTTTTTCTTTTTGATTTAATTTGAATCAAAAACCAACATTCCTTTTTGGGACTTTTCAAAAACCCAACCCGAAAAGCAAAATGAAACCAACAAAAATGTTTGGGGATTTTACCATTGAAAAATGTTGTCAAAAATGACATTTTCCCACCGGAAAAAAAAAATCTCATTTTTGGTGAAAACGCAAAAAAAAATGTGGTTGAAAAATTCTGACCAGCTCCAAATGTATGGGATAGACAGTCCCTTCTCTTATTTGATTTTTCTCCGTGATCTATCCGCTGCTGAGTCATCAACCACTGGGATCAATAGAGAAGCCAGTCCTGTCGTTTGACCAGTAGCCATTTGTGCGGCAGGTTCAGAATTCAAACCCTGCTGCTGATGGACGATGAGGGGTTTGTTACAGTAGTGCACACTAGTGCTTGCTTATCAGAGGAAGTATGGTGCAATGGTTAAAGCGCTAACCTAGGACACCTGGGTTTAATTCTCTTCTCTATGCGATGTTGGGCAGATGCTTTAGTGTCTCTGTGCCTGAGTTTTCCATCTGTCAAATGAGGATAATAGTACTTCCCTACTTTACAGGGGTGTTGGGAGGATAAATACACTGACAATGATGAGGTGCTCGGGTACCGTGTTAAAGGGGACCATGCAAATACCGTAAATTGACACATCCCCAGTCATCAGTGCCTGGGGCAGTAGGATGGGGAACTCTCTAAGTTTCTAAAACAGTGGGGACAGCTGCTTACCGCTTCATACAGAGCTCTCAGGAAATTAATTTCATCGGCCAGCGCGTCTGCTTTGGCCTGCAACTCGACCTTGTTCATGTAGGAGCCGTCCACATCCTAAAGGAAAGAAGACAAAAGTCACGGACATCCTGATGAGCTACAGAGTCAGCCAAAAGGCCCTGGTGACAACTGCAAAAAAACCACCCGTCCGCTGTCATCAGCCTTAGCAGAGTGTTATTGTCTAAGCGGTCGCTCTATCGCGATGTACAAGGTCTTTTAAAATGTGTCATTAAAGGGCAAGGCCGATCCCTTCTTCTGTGGCCATGGATGGTCCTAGGTGAGCAGAACTGAGGTAGTGCCCCTTGGTGCGGGAGGGGCAGTGTTGTTCCAGTCGGTGCGGGGTGATGATTGGGGTGGGGCAGGGGGCAGAGGGAGAGGAGGGCAAGCAAGGAGAGTTACTGGGACAGGGCAGCCAGCTCTCAGGCTGGGAAGGGGCATCCTGGTAGTTCTGACTGCAGTTCCTACAGCAGTTCCTGGGCAGCTGGTGCCAAGTGCCTTGTGCCAGCCCTTCTCAGCCCCGGCGACCCTGGATTTGGGGGTGGCAAAGGTTTAGGGTGCAAGAGGGTAAGGGTGGGGCTACTAGATTTACCACTAGGCATAGCCACCGGCCACTGTTTTCCATGTAACAAGCACGCAACCAGCATGGAAGAGGCCTTCTTCCTCTCGGCCCTGAGGGGGTTTCATTTCCAAGGTGAATGACGCCATACCCAGTTACTCCAGCTGAGCACCTCGCCCACAATGTACTGCTAAACATTCCAATGCCAGGTTGAGCTGTAATTCTCAGACAGGCCCCCATCAAGCAGGGGCTGGGGGAGTCCACAGCTCCCACTGGCGTTGGCTGGACTCTGCAGGTACCACACGCCTCTTGGACTCAAGCCCGTGAGTGACGCTGGGCTACTCACCTTCTTGAGCACCACAAAGTCATTCTCTGCAGCTGTGCGCCGGTTGATTTCATCTTCATATCTGTTGGGAGAGAGGAGAGAGAGGGCTAGATCAGGACCCGTCCGCTTGAGTGACTAGCAGAGAAGGCACAGACCCTTCCTTGAGTGCAGGGGACTGGACTAGAAGCTCTCTCAAGGTCCCTTCCAGTCCCACATTTCTATGATGCAAGCCACTCCTATTCCAAATGATAGGGGCCATGGAGGGGAGGGGAAGGATTTTAAATCCAGAGCAGTTAGGTCAATGGGTATTGGGTGCCTAGATCCAACCTGTGCCTATGAAAATCTCGCCACTGTGTCTCCAAGCTTAGCTAGTGGTATCAGGTCTTGTAGGAGCAGAAGCCACATCGTGAAGTGACTCACTGTAGCATTTCGCCTACAACTGCCTCAGAGGGAAATGGTCCAGTGTGTCAGGTGTGAGCACATGAGGACGGAAACCTAAGTTCAAATCCTTGCTCTGCTATGACCTTCCCGGATGACTTTGATGGAGTCAGACATTTTAAAGTGACTTAAGCGCCTAAATCCCTTGGGAGCTCTGGAAAATGTTACCCTCTGTTCCCCCTCTTTAACAAGGGGTCCTAGCACTGCCCCCCTTCGAGGGGGTGTTAAGATAAATACGTTCACAACTGCGAGCTGCTCAGATGCTGCGTAACCTGGAGCCATGTAAGTACCATCGATTTCCTTTAGCTGTGGCTTGCTGAAAGAAGGGGGTCTACATTTGAAAAATAGTACCGAGTCCGGAACTGACACGCTTGCTTAAAATCTAGCCCCAAATGTAAGAGTAGCTACTGGTTGGTCACTCACCCAAAACCTGCACAGAATTACCCACATGGTTAACTTTCTGCATTCTAAGTAGTCCCAGCTGAAACCAATGGAGCTACCCACCAGGCATCAAGTTAAGCATGTGGACAAAATCTTTGCAGGATCGGGGCCCATTATCAAGTGTCACTAATTGTTTTAGATGCAACTGCCATGGAAATGCCTGTAAATACATCATAACTCAGTCTGTCTAACTAACTGTACCATTTATTCCAAGATCTTTTAGCTGAAGTTTTGCAAAAGCACTTCGTTATGCTAAAAATATGCTTCTGTGAAACTTCATGGCTTAGGGCTAAATCAAAGAGGCAGGGTGGGTCTTGGCAAGATAGGAGAAAGGAAGCATTATCTTGACCGGGCTGCGGCAAAGGTGATCTGGATGTCTCCAAAAGGCTGTTGCCAACTCTGTACCTGATTTTGGCATGGGAATGAGATGAAAGAGGCAATGAAGAGGGATTTGAAATAAGACACGGTCTGTTTCCCATGCAGTATTTCCATCCTCCAGAAACCATAGTATAATGAGTAAAACAGACTATGTATTATATTTGACCATTAAAAAAGCCAATGAAAGATACAAATACAAGAAACACAAACGAATACTAGAAGCCAATTCATACCATGCCAATATTATGTGCGGATTCCTAAAAACACATCTATCTGTCTATCTATCTATCTAAACTTCTCTGATCCTCAAGTGTAATTTTCTCAGATCTGCACTTTGCCAGTCTTGCTACTTAATGCTTTATTGGATGCAAGGATTAAGAGTGTCTTGTAAATATGAGGGATGGAGAGAAGGCGGTTTAGATATGGGGTAAAATGTTCAAAAGCGCCTAAGTCCCACTGAAAGCCACTAGGATTTAGGCACCTAAGTAACTGTCACTTTTGACAATCAAAAGGCAATGGGTCTTAGTTCTAAGTGCTAGGTCACTTTTTGAAAATGGGACTTAAGCTCCTAAGTCACTTTGGTGCATTTGAAATTTTTGCACATCCACTATACTAATTTTAAAATCCTCTGCTGTTTTATTTTTAACAAATCAGTGGGTCAAATTCTGATCTCAGTTACGCTAGAGTAACTCCACTGGCTTCAGTGGAGTTAGAGCCAGATGCTCCAAGATCAGAATCTAGTTCAGTGCATGCATCTGTTTTGAGAGTAGCAAATGCCACGTGATGCCCATGTAAGGCATTTTGATGCTCAATACAGTATGAAATGCCTGGCTTGGTTTTTCATGCATACCAATACCCTAGATTTTAATGCAGACTTTCTTACTTATTCTTGAAATCCTCCACCATGTCTTGCATGTTCCTCAGTTCTGAATCCAGCCTTCCTCTCTCCCCCAAAAGGTTATCTAGCTGCCTCCTGAGGTTATTAATGTAGGCTTCAAAAAGAGGCTCCAGGCTCCGTTTGACAGTCGTCTGACCCTGTTCCTGCAGTAGAGTCCATTTGGTCTCCAATACTTTGTTCTGTTGCTCCAAGAATCGGACCTGGGGAAAAAACAGAACCCACAGGCAGGTGCTTAAACCCATTCAAACAATCCACAAAACCACTGACGAGAAAAAGGTTGATTGTTCAGTTCAGGGCAGAGAGAGCGAGATGGGGGTAGGGAGAATGTGACAGATACTTTTCATATAGGAATTTTGGGACCAGGTGCCAGATTTTCAATGGCATTTAGGAACCTAAAGATGCAGGCAGGATTTTCAAAAGAACTTAAGCAGGGTAGGCACCTACCTACTTGGGTACTTTTGTAAAGCCCACTAGGTGCCTATCTTTAGGTGCCTAAATATCTTTGAAAGTCTGGCTCCAGATTCACAACTACTTTAAATCAATGTCACTCCACCGCATTACACTAGCTGAGGGTTTATTATCAAGTGAAAGCTTGAGAAGGATTTAAAAAAACAGTTTATTGTCCCCCCCAGCGCATCTCTGTGACAAGGAGATTTAAGAAAAATTCCTGGTTTTTAATCAGCGATTTCTCCTAATACTAATAATCCACTGCCTGTGGATAAACCATGATGAATACAGAAATTGCCCAGACAACACATGCTCATGGAAAAGGATAGCATTCTTTTTTTTTTCTTGAAGACACTGAACTATCCAGAGAAGATACTTTGCAGCCTGTGGGTTCAGGACCGGTGCTCACCTTGTCGATGAAGGAGGCAAATTTGTTGTTGAGGGTCTTGATCTGTTCTCTCTCCTGCACTTTCACTTTCTGGACCTCCGGGTCGATATCCAGGTGGAGCGGCGCCAAGAGGCTCTGGTTGACGGTCACTTCGTGGATGCCGCCAGGTGGACAAACGGGAAACCCAGGGCCACCCCTTCCACCGAACCCAGGGCCACCCAACCCATAGCCACCGCCAGCACCACCTAACCCATACCCGCCACCTCCACCGAGAGCAAAACCACCGCCTGCTCCACCACCGTAACCAAAGCCAATGCCTGATCCTCCTCCAAAACCGTATCCTCCACCACCACCAAATCCACTCCGGAGACCTCCGCCGACAGTACTGTAGGAAACTCTTTTATTTCCACCTAGGCTATATAGGCTTCTGCTGCCAAAACCACCACCGCCACCACCTCCAAAGCCACCAGCTCTTCCTCCTCCAACTCGAGAGACAGAGACCGAGCTGAAGCTGCTTCTGCCACCACCACCACCACCAAAACCTCCGCCTAAGCCAGCAGAACCTGAGCTGAAGGTCTTGCTTCCACCCCCGCTTGTTGATTTTCTCATGGAGATTCGACTCATGGTGGCTCGTTCAGTTGAAAACGAAAAGAGTGGAGAGCAAAGTGCGGGAATAGAAGCTGTGCTGCAGGAGAAGAGCAGAGAGCGAAGGAGATGGAACCCCTCTGATGTGAGAGCGGGGAGCCGCTTCTTTTATCTGCTTGGAGCACTTGGCATGGGATGCAGAGACGATCCGCTGCATTCATGGGCTTGACGTACCTTGCAGCAACTTGTCTTGTCAAACACACCTAGGTAGCAGCTTGGCTTTGAAAAATGCATTGTTTGTGGGCAAAAAAGTAACGGAGTGCACTTACTTGTCCTTGCACAGGAGGGTTGTTGTTTTTTTAATTAAACGAGATTGTAGGCCTGATTCTGAAACAGTGACTCATGAGATTTGGCATGAAGAGGCTGCTCAGGTGTGTCAGGACTAGTCGCTGGATCATCCACTATCACAGAGCTAGCGTCTGTAAAAGACCATACCAGCTGCTCTATTAACAATTGACTTTAACTGGTAAAGTTACTTCCACGCTCAAGTCTTTGCAGGGCTCGGGGGATGGTTCTTACATTGCAAAGGGGCTGCAAGGTCTTATCACAGAGGCCATGAATGGGGGGAGGGATAGCTCAGTGGTTTGAGCATTGGCCTGTTAAACCCAGGGTGGTGAGTTCAATCCTTGAGGGGGCCACTTAGGGATCTGGGGCAAAAACAGTACCTGGTCCTGCTAGTGAAGGCAGGGGGCTGGACTTAATAACCTTTCAAGGTCCCTTCCAGTTCTAGGAGATAGGATATCTCCATTTATTAATTATGATACACAAGCTGCTTAGAAATCTGCATACCTAAAGACATCAGTAATGCCAGTTTCAGCTATTACAGCAGTGGTGTGCGCATATGTGTGTGTGAGAGAGAGAGAGAGATTTTCAAATCTCCTTGGGAATTTAGATGTCCAACTCTTGATCATTTTAGTGGGAGTTGGGTGAGCAAATCCTCTAGGCAACTTTGAAAATCTTAACCTTACGCTTTTTTAGCTTTAATTCATATTTTTATAGCTATGGCAAGCAGAGCTGTGAATCACTGTTGAAATGGCTTTCGACGATGAATCCAACTAATCCTTGCACCAAAAAAACAAATCAATGTAGCCCCACATTTCAAGAGAGACTTCATTGCAGAATTGTGTAATGAGGCTGCAGATGATGTTCATGAAAAAAAAAAAAATCTATACTACATTAGGGAGCATTATCATATGGGACTGCCCCCTAAGGAGAAGCATTATAGATTTGAACTGGAATGAAATCAATAGGGGTCTATAGAAATTACTCAAATTCTATAGGGTCAGAAAGACAGTGCAGCCTTGAAGTTACTGGAGCTACACCAGCTGAGGATACGGTCTATGGAATTTGGTACATAATGAGACGCCTACAGTCTGAGCCAACCTATGGAATTATACAGGAGGGATGGAATTATCTATTAAATTCTATAGGCATGTTTTTTTTTAAAAAAACTATAAAAAGGGTAGCATTTCCTAGTCAATGCTACTGGACTTCTCAGTCAGGGTCAATTCTAAAAGTAAGGGAGTGAGGCTGTGTTTTTATTGTGCTTGTTTTTCACCTGCTGATCTGCAAAATTACGACGTTCAACGGGGGGTTTCCAGTCATCAGCGCCCAGTAGTGACATTTGCTGGTGGAATTCACAACATTCTGGTTTTAGGTCCGATGTTGCACAACCTCACTCAGGTAAAAGATCTGTTGGCGCTTACCGCACCGCTCAAGATTTTCAAGAGTTTCTGTTTGATTTTGGTCACTTTGGTTTTTGGGTGCACGACTTGAACCAGTTTAAGGGGGCTCCAATTCTCAGCGAGCAGTTTCTGAAAATCAGTCCCCTGGAAGGTATCGCAAATCGTGCAAGCCCCCGAAAATCACTAGAAACTCTTGAAAATCTTGGCCAGTGGACTTAGTCATAAACCAGATTCTGCCAACCGTGTCCGTCTTGAATGGTACTTCGCTATGCAGTTAGTTCCGTTGACTTCAATGGGACTGTTGGCAAAGTAAGATACTGCTCTGCATAAGGAAAGCAGGCAGCTCTCTCCCCGTCTTGAGCTGGATTTTTGCAGAGTTGGGTGCATGAGCAGCCAGCAGAGATAATGAATCCAAAATTAGAGGCTTAGGGGCATCATCATCGTATCATAGCTTGTTTTCTGTTGATAATTTTCCAGAACTAGTTTCCTTTGCCTGAGAACTTGAAAGAATCTGAATTAAAACTGATTTTTTTGATTGCAGTCAGAAAACCTGATGCTTGCACAATGTGTGTTCCCGCTGCATTCCTGTTGCCACTTATTGCCAGTTTTGTGAGTCATTAGCACCTGAAGCTCATTCAGGTAAGAAATTAGGAAATTAATCATTTAATTAAACCTCCAATGGCAGGGATAAGGCTGAGTTGTAGCAAGGGGGTGCTGTAATCTCGGGATTGTAGAGTTTAGAAAGCGCTTGGTTGCTTGCATATCTGGAGGTTACATTTAAAAATGTAACGTTATCTACGACAAAGATAATGACATCAGCTCCCATGTGATCTGTCCAGACATTGCCATGGCAACATGGATTCCATTCCAACATGCATTGTCCATTCCAACATGCATTGGCTTTATGGACGATATCAAGACTTCGATCCTCCTCTCATTGATATCAACATAAGCTGGGTGTCTACTGACGTCAGTGGATCTATACAGATGTAAAAGCTGCACAAGGGAGAGGCGAATCAGACCCGAAGTGTCTTAGATTAATAGGTACCTTCCCATAACAGCAAGGGATACATTTTCAGCAAGTGTAAATTGGCGTGTATCTATTGATTTCAATAGAGCTACATCCATTTTTACACCAGGTGGGAATCTGGCCCCATTTACTCCAGTGGAGCAATGCCAAGTTATGCCAGCAGGACCACAGTGTGAAAAGTTTGAATTAAAAAGTATAAAATGTTCATTTTTATTTTAATGAATAAATGACTCTACAGTGGAATGTCTAAATATGCATGTTGCCCCCAAATAATGTTCATTCACTGGATCGTTACGAAGAGTATCAAAATGTAAAGCAACTGGCGGCGTGAAACTAGGGTGACCAGACAGCAAGTGTGAAAAATCGGGACGGCGGTAAGGGGTAATAGGCACCTATATAAGACAAAGCCCCAAATATCATAGAATCATAGAAGATCAGGGTTGGAAGGGACCTCAGGAGGTCATCTAGTCCAACCCCCTGCTCAGTGCAGGACCAATCCCCAACTAAATCATGTCAATGTCCTGCTTGAAAGTTCACATTCATAGAATCATAGACTATCAGGGTTGGAAGGGACCTCAAGAGATCATCTAATCCAACCCCCTGCTCAAAGCAGGACCAACACCAACTAAATCATCCCAGCCAGGGCTTTGTCAAGCCTGACCTTAAAAAGCTCTAAGGAAGGAGATTCCACCACCTCCCTAGGTAACCCATTCCAGTGCTTCACCACCCTCCTAGTGAAAAAGTTTTTCCTGATATCCCTATCAAATCGGGACATCTGGTCACCCTACGTGAGACACTAATGCATGGAAAGGTCACACAGTGCATACTGAGTCCTCACTCAGGCAATATTGTCCTGGATTTAGGGCCAAAGCTTGCTCATTTTACTCGCTTGAGTAATCCTGTTGAGGTAAAGTGAGTCACCAGCAGGAGTTGGATTTGGCCCAGCAGTGGAACATTTGCGTGAGCGAAGAACGCAATGTAGACCCCTTCTTTCCAACATGAATTGTCCAGTCATTTCGCAGAGGGTCAACCTTTACTCACCTTTTGTCATCTGCACTATCACAAGCGAGGATGACTGCATAAATCAGACTAGCAGGGCGTGGTACTAAAAGATCAAAAATGTCAGTTTGCCAAATAATAATAATGATAATACCTGGCTTTTCTATAGCTAGGCTTGGCAAACTCGGGTTTCTATTTTTTATATAAATTTGACCGATATCAATGTTTACTGTTTGGCATTTTTAAACTGTTTCTCAGTTTAAATTTTCAGTTGCACAAAATTATGGATTTTAAGCATCTTTTTTATTTATTTACATTTTAGGAATTGCAGGAAGTTGTGTGGAGGTCAGAGAGTGTGGCGGGGGACAATCATTTTTTAATGACATTGAGATTCAAAAAGTGAAAGCTTTATCATGGTTAAATATGCAAAGTAAATATCCTTAAATCAAACTCTAGTAAGTTCTCAAGTAGCATTTTTCTTCCTTTGCCTATCTGTGAATTCTGATGGTTATCAATCAAAATATTGTTTTGTTGGTTGGCGTGTGTACAGTGAAGTCGACGTTTACTGATAAAAAAACGAATCCTTCCAAGTGTATAGATCACAAAGCACTTTACAAAGGAGGGCAGTATCATTATCCTCTTTTTACATTTAGGGAAACTGAGGCGCGGGGCAGGAAGTGATGTCATCCAGAAGGCCAGTTGGTTGCTTCTACTTCCATCTATGTCTGTGGTGTCGTTTTTGCATCAGACATCAAGTGTGGTGCATCCTACCAAGGAGCATTAGGTCTAGTTCTCTTTTGACACCTTTGTAACTCCTTTGACTTCAGTGAAGTCACTTACACCTGTTTTACGTGAGAGAAGAATCAGGGTACGTCTACACTACCCGCCGGATCGGCGGGTAGCGATCGATCTATTGGGGATCGATTTATCGCATGTAGTGTAGACGCGATAAATCGATCCCCGGTCGCTCTGCCGTCGACTGCTAAACTGCAGCTCGGCGAGAGGCGGAAGCAAAGTCGACGGGGGAGCCGTGGCCGTCGATCCCGCGCCATGAGGACGTGAAGTAAGTGATTCTAAGTCGATCTAAGATACGTCGACTTCAGCTACGCTATTCTCGTAGCTGAAGTTGCGTATCTTAGATCGATCCCCTCTCTCCCCCCAGTGTAGACCAGGCCTCAGTCCTAATATTTTTAGGCTCATGGCGGGGAAAAAAAAAGACTTGAAAATCTCTTGTCTTGGTTTGATGCCTTTTGTATATTTGCTTTATTCA